AGACAGCAGAGCCTGCTTCGCCGATCTTGGACAAGTTTGGGCTGTATAACCGCGCGGTGTTTAGCAGGAGCCGTGTCTCGGTGCAACCCATCGCCTCGCCTCCGCGGCAGCGCTGGGGAAGCGCATTGTGGCCCAGCCCAGTGTGACTTTCCAGTGAGCTCTTCCTCCGCCCGCGGTGCGAAAGCGAGCTTTCGTGGCCGGAGAGGGGTGCGCGCAGCGATGGTGTGAGGGCGCTTCCCCCACCATATGCTACCGATCTCGTCGCACATCGGAGGGTTGGGATGTATCTCGCGACGGTTCCACCGCCGCCTGAGTCATGCCCCCTCTACCTATGAAGGCGGAGGCTCGTGCATCCGCTTCCGGCCCACCGAGCACGATGGTCAGCGCGCCTGGGGCAACCTGGTGCAGGTGCTGCGCGGGGGAAGCCCAGCGCTGAACCAGCGAAGCCAAATCAGCCCCGAAACGCCCCTCCTGCCATGCCCATGTCTACCATCTCGCCCACTGCTGCCCTCAAGGCAGTAAGCGCGTGGAAGGCTGCGGCGGGGCAGCCCGCCGCTGCGCTGAAGGCGCCGCCTCAACGACAATGGTGGACGGAATCAGAGGGTGAGCAACGATGATGCTGCTTGTTTACGCGAGGTGAAATTGGAAACCGCCGAGAAGACTCTTTGCGCCGATCCCTCGCGAGAGCTCCTAGGTATATTGCTGAACTCACTGTGGTACTCCGCTTGTGGGAGGACCATGGAGCATCGCGGAGCCCTGGCGGCATCTCGCAGCATCGGCGCCGCCCTTGCGACGTGGATGAGCCGCAAGCCAAATCGTTGTGGCGTGGTTGACTCCGCTGTCTTTCTCCCCGGCGTTACCACTGAGCGCAAATTTCGTTACTCATCTAGGAATGGGGGGGGCGATGGTGTAAAGAAATGCACGGACCCAGGGACTTACCTAGCAGCTCGAGGCAGAACCTTGGGATAGGGCCAAGTGGGCACAGCGGATCTCCGGAGCGATGAATCACTCCACCTTCTGGGAATAGGGCACGGCATGAGGTCTTGGTGCACGATTGAGTACGACCCATACCAGAGCCACGTCGACCGCTTGACGGCGGAGGCGACGGAAGCGCGACGGGCATCGTGGCTCAGGGCCTCGCCGCAGCCTCGGAGCATGCAGGGGGAGCCGTGTCTGTGTGTGTGTGTGGGTGTGTGTGTGTGGATGAGCATGCCTTCATCGCCTTCCGGGTGGCGGGGGGGCCACTCTCAAGAGAAGTTCCTGGACGAAAAGTATTTGCCAGCCAGGGACTGGATCCCCGTGTGCCAGCACACATTGGCCCGGTGCC